CCGGGGATTTATCATAGTTTGAAAGTGCCTAGGGAAAGATGACCTGCTTCCCATGAGCCATACCACCTCCCCTCACCTCTTTCTCATATGCGCACACACAGGAGCATGCGTGTACACATGACATACATATTATCACACCAGAAAACAAACCAGCAGAGCCTAGGATGTGCAGACAGTACACTTGCACTGCTGACCACTAATGAAAGGGATTGGAACATCTGCTCAACGGACAGAAGGAAACAGAGTGGGAGCAAATGAGATGTTAGTAGTCACGAGGGGGATAGTAACAGGATTTAAGACACGTGAGTCCTTGAGGGAACACAGCATGGACATCTGAAATAATGTATCAGTGCAAACATAATTTTAATGAAGAAAAGCAGTTCTTCAAGGGAACTCTGTCTGTCAGTTGTTTGTCAGTCTCCATCTCACCAATTAAAAGAGTAAAAGAAAAAGAAATAAAGACGTCTTAAGATCAGATGGAGAAAGGTCTCTAGGTAGTTATATAGGAAGATAATTGGGAACGTTGTTTCACAGAGCGAGGTGTCAAGACCAGTGTCAGGAGTGGATGCTGAACCATGAACCATGTTCTATTAAGGTCATTTTCAGAAGCCCCTACCCTATTTCCTTTTCCTTTCTCCTTCTCCTTTTCACCTCTCCTGCATTCTGCTCTAAATTCTCTTATTCTTCTACACCTCCTTCTGCTTTATTTATTGCTGTGGGCCTGGGAGACTCATTCTTTCTTATCAGTCAGCTTGCTCTATACTGACCACTGGATAGTCACACCATCAGTTAGTTCTTTTCTTGCCAGACAGCAGGCTGGCCACCTCTGAAGATGCTCAAGCCCTCCACCACTCTTGGCCCTGGGAATGGGCTGCTCTGGATTGGAATTGGGAAACGGTCCTCTAAGAATGTGTCTAATTGCCTGGCTGGGGTAGTGGTGGTGGGGCTGTTTGGGCCAAGAAAGATATAAAGTCACTTTTAGAGAAATCTGTCATTTTTGTTTTTAAAGAAAGCAGTTTATGCCCCCTCCAAAAAAAAAAAAAGTGATTGCCCATGAGGGCTCTTTGCAGGAAGATTTTCAAGTATATTCTAACCGTTAATCTCTTCCACAGCTGCTTCTGAAGTCAGTTGAGAGCTTCAAACATGTTTTCTGGGTTCTCATGCACTTGAACTGATTGGGATATTGCAATCCACCTATTTTCTTCCTCCAGTTCCCCTACAGGCACCCTCAGGCACACTTACATAAGCACATATCATTTCTCCTTTTACAGGATGTCAAAACATCTGTCAGAGAGCCTTCTCTGACTTTCAGGTCCTACGACTCAACTTTCTCCTATGTCCACTCCACTATATTCACAGAACTTCCAAGCAACAGACAAACTTGGGCAGAGGTTCCCATCTTTTATGGAATCAATTTTGTATTTTTAAACATACTTGCCAATATTCTATTATCTCAGAAAGTCCAGAGAATGGATGAGAAGTAGCTTATCAAGTATATTGCCACACTTTCAACACATTATTAATAACAGTGTGACAACCAGAGCTCTTCTGGCTTTAACATGACTTCCTTAGTCCTTTTCCTAAGACAAGGCTGTGACATTGTTGGCACAAACTTCCCCCATCCACTTGACTAGTCTCAAAAGTGCCCGTTCTCAATTGGAACCCAATACAGTTCTCAGCATGAAACTGTGTCTTGGCTAAATCGACTGGTTTTATGTCTACAGTCATCAGTGTCTTTGTAATATTCTTCAAGACAACCTAGCGACTGTGAGGGGTTTCTATGTTAAGTGAATCAACATCCCCAATATTGCTTAGCAATGAAAAAAATGAATATCCACCTGTACGTTTATCAAGACAGTTAATTGCAGAAAACATTGTGAAAGCCTTTGCCCTGCAACCCGGAGTTGGTTAACCCGGAGTTTCCGAGTTAACCGATTCTTTGAGGGAAGACCTCTGAATCCAGGCATATGCCAACTGCAAGGAACAGAAGGAAGGTGCAGGCCCACTCTGGCACTCTGGCATCAGACTCTTCTGGCGCAGATTAGGAAAAAAAAAAAAACAAAACTAACAAACCTGCACCTAGTTGGGCTGGGGCAAGGCACCCAGTGTTGGAACAGGAAAATCGCCTCCCACTGCACCTCAGAGGTGCTCACCTCTCCGAAATACCCCAGCACAGCCTCCCTACTACACTGTTACATCAAATTACCAAGGTCTGTCCAAGTGCCCTAGGATTTCTCCAGGGAGTGGGAACAACTTCCCTCACCACTCAGCTGGATCAAGGCAGAAGCCTAGGCAAAGATGGCCAAGGCTGCAGATGCTGGGGGAATGCCCAATGGTGGCTGGGCACTGGAGCTCTAAAGCCTGCACAGCAGAGCGCTGGAATGTGGGTTTGTGCCGCTGGCTGCTTGTGCCTGGAGGGACTGAACATCATAAGATTTTCATATACCCACAGCAACCCAGTGCAAAAGAAAGAGCAAGAAAATCAAAACTAGACGAAGGAAAAAGGGGAAAAAAAGGAGTAGAGAGGAATGCAAGTCAGCTTGGGAGATTCCGGACCCGGAGCATAGGAGCGAGGGGCGAAGATTTAACCCGCTCCCTTCGCCCCCGCCCCCACCCCATGGGAAGATTTGGAGCAGTGGGGCTGCAGGAACAGACGCACAGGGACCGTGAAGTGACACAAGGACATGAGAGGGCAGCTGGGGTGACGTGTCAGCGGGCATTTCTACTTGCCTTAAGCGTTTACTTCCATTTCTCTGCCCTCCTCCCGCCTCTTGGCAGTGAGCGCTTCTCTCCGCGGGTATATGCACACAAGCTCCAGAGTCTGCATCACAGAAAGGGACTGAAAGACCGGTCGGTCGACCCTCCCTTGGACTATTTTGCGGCTCTGAAGAGCCTCCAGGGAGCAGAATGACAGAGACAGAAAGGGGAAATGCATAGGATGCATATATCGAAGGAGAGAAGCAGAGTGTGCCCCCTCACCCCGGTAGTTGTCAACAATTTGAGTGAATCCTTACCCCTGGAACACTCTACAAAGCAAGCCTCTCCCCCTGCTCAGCTTGTGACCCTCCAGGGACATGGAAGGGTGGAGCGCACAGGTGGAATTTCTGTGTTTTCTGTCTGCAACTGGGTTTGGATCGCACCTCACAGGCTCCCAGAGCCACAAGTTAGTGGGGATCGCCCAGCTCCGCAGATGCCAACAGTAAAGGTCATTTGCGGCACAGTGGTTCCCTATCTACGACCTGCAGAGTGACCCAGTACCCACCATGAGTTGGGTGGCCAAGATCCCGCAGAGTCTAAGACCTCACCAGCTCTGGACTGGGGCCCCTTCCCTCAGCCAGTGGACAATCAACCCTGTGCGTCCCCAGAGGAAAATTGGCTTGCAGAGGGCTCCTCTCTCTCTCTTCCTGGGAACCTTCCCTAGAACCTTATTTTCTCTGCCCTTTGGCCAAGGTCCGTGGATCACAGCAGCAAACCTGTCTCTCTCATGCGAAGGCTCGCTCCCAAGGCGGAGTCACACGACAGTGTAGTGTGGTAACAGGAATGAGAGGGGCCTCCACCCTAAACGCAGTGTGCTCAGACCCCAGGGGGACAGAGCTAAGGGGATTGAGCGGCTGGAGAGACTGAGCTGTTTTTGCCTTCCCCAAGGCAGCATCTGGAGTTGGGGATAGGGATGGGGGATGAAGAGGATAAGGGTCAGATGTTAAGCTCAAAGACAGAGCCATGCTAAGGTAGCGCGGCTCACAGGCAGCTTTCGCCACATTTCCCTGGACTTGGCGACCCCAATGGTACCCCAGTCCCAGCTGTGCCCCCACCCCCACCAGATCCGCCAAGGTATGTGTGCTCTCCTGCAAGCCCCAGATGCTAAAGTTTCCATCGGAAAACCTGCACGTGCAGAGGACCACCAAACAATTCCTCCAGACCCAGCCCCTCTGCGGCCAGGGTCGGGTGATTGGGAGGAGCTGCAAGGTACCAGGGCCCTTGGCGTGGGCAATCGGAGAACCCGGCGGTGTGGCATTGTCTTTACCTGTAGCTGACTTAGTCGCCCGGGGCTGCGATCTGGTGGAGTCTGGCCGGAGCGAGGAGCCTTTGGCGGGCTCGAGTTGGACCCGCTCTGGCGCGTGCTGCACAGCTTAGAGTCCGCAGCTAGCCGTCCGCTCTCCTTCTCCCTGGATCTTGCAAGAGAAAAGCGAAAGATTAGTTGTCCCCGCGGCACTTAGACGGGTGGAGCGGGGGAGGCGGGGAGACTGCGGACCCCTAGGCTCTGGGATAGCTGCCGGGCACCTTACATCGGTCCCGCAGCTTGGCTAGACTGGGACCCAAAGGGCTGTTCAGACTGGAGTTAATTTGCCTCTGTGCGCCACCTTCAACATCACACCCCCGAAAGACAGACAAATAAGACTTTCAAACCTGGCTTTCAGGGAGATGACCGTGGACACCGAAATAGAAAGGAGACCTGGATATGGCGAAGAGCTGGGCGGGCTTCATTTCTTCACCCGAGTGCCGGGAAAGTAGTAATTAGAGTCTGCAAGCCGCGCTCTTCCACTTCTCCCAGCGCCTCTGGCGATTTCCTAGTGGGATCTGCGACTTCAGGGCTCTGGCCAAGCCCGCAGGCTGGCGTGTGCGTGTGCGTGTGCGAGTGTGTGTGTCTGTGCCCCCGCGTGCCTGCTCCCCAGAACGGGTCTCTGCGCCCTCACCCGCTGTGTGTAGCAGCAGAGCAAGAGTGGTGTCTCTATTTGTGCGTTTGTGTTCGATTAGCTGCAATGGGCGGACAGTTTCTGGAGAGAACATTTACAATTTTCTTTCGATCTGACAGGATTAGTTGCCATTGAAGGGGCTCCTCCAATGAAATCTTCTCTGCGCTCTGATTTGGCGGTTCTTCCGAGCAAATATGACAGCTTTCTCTCCCAGCTCTTCTCTGCATCTCTCCATGTCCGTGTCCCCAGAGCTCAGCTCTCCATCTGCAATTTCTACACCACAACCTTTGCAATCACCGCCACCACCCCTAGGTCCCATGCCAGCAAGTGCCCGGTTGCTACAGAGGTGACAGGGCACATTGGGAAGAAGGCTTGTTGATTGCAGAAGACACTTAAGTCCCGTGTTTCCAGGTGGGGAAATGTTAGAACAAATGCAGTATACTTTAGAGTTACAGTGAACGGTTCAGATTGTTTATTTCTTTGATGTTGACTAGTGTACTGGGAAGAAACAGATTTTTATTTATCTGTCTTTGCTTTTTTTCCCCCCACACAGGCCAATGCCTATGTTTTTCATCAATTAATGGAAAGTGGTAGCCTACAGAGTGTTTGTCATGTGTGTGTGTGTGTGTGTGTGTGTGTGTGTGTGTGTGTGAGTGGGTGGTGGCTTAGATGTCACTGAGGAAAATACACGATACGAACTTCCTGTGTTCAGAGCATGGACTATTATTTTTATATTTTACTTTATTTTAATTATTTAATTAATGTATTTTAATTCCTTCCAAAAGTTTACATATTACTTTAAAGTACAGACACTGTTTGATACTATGATGATGTGATTATTCTAAAGTGTAGTTGAGGACAACATTTACTTTTGATAATGTATACTGTCTATGATGACATAAATATGTGTTACATAAATGTGATGTTACATGATTTCCAAATAGAATTAAAGAAGAGTTGAAACCTTAAACTAAATAACATCTCCTTTTGATCAGAGACAGAAATTACTATTTGATATGCCCAGTGAAATTCAGCTCAATTGTTGTTGCACTATCCCTTGTGGGGTATTAAAGAGCACGCAGAATAAGGAAGCCACAGTTCCTTTTCTTTCTAAGTTCCTCATCTTTGGGAAGAAACATGTATGTGAAGCTCTTGAACAGAGGTTCACCATCAAGACAATGAATTATACACTAATATAAATTCATTGATAAATGAAAATCCCATAGTTGTGTCAAAGCAGAACCTGACAAAAATTCAATTTTGCTTGATTAAAGCAGTCTTAAAGTATAAAGGATGGCAATGCTATGTCTCTGCCCTCCATGTCTATACAGGCACTCCACCAAGAGTCTTGTTTGAGAAAGGCGGTTCTGTTTATTCTTGCCCCCAGCCTCCACCAGCACTGGGTTTCTGGCAGTAAATAGCTGATTTTTTTTCTCATTATTTTCTCTGTTGGGAACTCTTGAAAATCAGTTCACAATCATTCCACCTGCCATTACCTCCAAATAGGCTTCAGAAACCCACATTGTTATAATGTACCTGAGGTTTTTTTGAATGCACATGTGTGCATGTTTGTACACACAACACCACACACACACACACACACACACACACACACACACACACACACTGAAACTGGAAAAAAAAGGAATTTGCTCATTTGTACTCTGGTTATGTTTTTGTTTCCCATCTTTCTTCCTACAAGATCTAGCTATTCCGAAAAGGGAGGTGGATAGCCAGCAAAGGCTTACAAATAGATCAGACTTTTGTGAGGAGCTACATACAGAAGCATCACTTTCAGTGAGCAAGTTTCAGTGATGTCCATTTTCTTCTCTTGAGTCCTTACTGCAAACAACTGTATCATGTATGCTTGGATCTCCACCATTCACTGTGTGATGTGGAGAAATTATTTAACTGCCCTGAAAGTCAATTTTTTAGACTACAAAGCAAGTTTAGTAGTATCTTCTAGATTTGTTGTTTAGAACAGCATAATTAATCACTGCAAAGTTCTCAGCAGAATTTTTGGCATATGATAAATTGGCTCTGACTGCAAGGTGTCAGTCAAGATGTAAGGATTCTGATTGCTGGGTCATGCCTGTGACCTCTTTGAAAGTGTTTATCAGGGAGCATTGCCAGCTAGCCAATGATGCTATCCACCAGAGGGATGTAAGACGCATGTTAAACATAATCCATCACCACACCGGCCCCAGGGATCCTCATTCTTACCCCCTTCTAGTTTCTTGCTGTACAGGAAATGATCGTGTGTTTTCTGAGCATTTTATTTTCATCTCTTAAGCAAGTTCACTTTCTGAGATAAAAGAGTGTTCTTTCACCCCAGGAATATAGCGTTTGCATTTATTAGTAACTCTTGGTGTGGAACATTTTCAAAAGTGCTTTTTAAAGACTTTGTGGAATGCATCTGTGGGTTTTCCTTTATCTGCATGCCTATTTTCCACCTCAAAGCACTCTAATAAATTAGTAATTTCCACTTGTGAAGCCAAACTTCATTACCTACCTCCTTATAACACTAGTTTTAGGAATGCAGTGCAGAGCGCCGATGCCTGGAGGGTATGACTTTGAATCTTTGACAAAGTTCACTTTTGAATAAGACTATAAATAAGGTCACCAGTAACAGAAGAGGAAGGGGTCTGATTGGGTCTCCCTCCTGGGGATGTGGTACACGTTTTACTGCACCATGTTGATTTCAGTGCAAGAGTGATTAGGCTTTAATAATTAGACGCACAAAGCAGCACTCTTACTGTAAGTGGACCAAGAGGATGACGAGTTGAACTCCAGTGATTTCCCACCAGGCACAGTAGCCATACTTTTTGCCTCCTCTCACTTTTTCTGTTTTCAATGACCTGAGAAAATACAGGGGAAGGCTTTGCTTACGGGAGGAAAATGAACCAGAGGAGATCTTATTTCTCTCAGTCTCCTGCTCACAAAACTGTTCTAAGAGGTAAACAGGGACCAAGAGGCTTAGCAACCAGAGGCTCAGGAAAAGCAGGCTGATCCCCAGGATGTATGCCTGAGGAACTTTTCTTTCCCATGATTCAATTTGGAATATAACATTCTTGGGTTCAAAGTGAGTCTTCCAGTGACAGCCACCACTTGAAATGGGCTTTTCAGTAGCTCTGTTGTTTTAAAATCTTAATAACAGCCCCACAATAGGCCTGCCATTCTTCTTAGAGTTATTTATTTTTCCTGCAAACCAGAGAGTAATTTAAAAGCTTCTATTCTTCAGCTAGAAAAGATGATGTCCTTTTCTCATAGAAAAAAATACCAAGCCTTTCTTTTGCATATCCCGCAACAGAAGTTTTTATACACAAATGGGACTGATTCTGAGTGACAATGTTTAGTAAGAGTCTGACAAACAATGCTATGCTATTTTTTCTTTTCCTTGAAGTTTGGCATCACAGATGTTTTAAACTCACTCTGTCTTAGCCTTGATAGTGTTATCCAAAGCCTGAAAACATTTACTGCTGCTGAGTCTAAAATATTTAAAATACAGAGCTCTGTTGCAAACAGGGAATATTAAGAAGGAGGAAATGGTGAGGGAGGAGGAGCACCATGCTGCAAAATGTTAAGCAGCTGCTGATAAGTCAGTGTTAAGTACACAGATGGAAACAGACAGGTGTGATGCATGGTTGCTTAGAGGAACATTTAGTCTGTATGCATTCATCCCACCAGGAGGCAAAACTGAAGACCCACTTGGAGAGGTAAGGCCCTAAGACAGGGGCTGAGGAGCTTCAACGGCATCCATTTCCAAGCATAATTTTTGACAAATAATTTAAATTTCTCTTCTTGAAGTCCAAATTGGATGCTGGAATTTTGGGTGGAGATAAGATTCCAGGGAGTTCAAAAGGAGTCTTCTCTTGTATTATGTACAAGGCTCCCCAGTGATTTGAATCAGTAACTTTGTACAGAAGAGAGTCTTCCAGGAGTACTTAACACCAACTTAGTCTATAGGGAAACCTGCTTTCTACAGAATTTTGAGTGAACTAATCCTTTACTCATGGGAGTTCATATATTTCCTCAGATCATATAACAGACTAGTTTCCTAAGCAAGCCATGGACCATCAAGAGAAAGCTGGAAATGTTACTCCACAATAAAGAAACCAATTTGGAGATCATAACAGCACCCAAGAGCTTCATCACTAAACTTGATTTACCCTCTATTTCTCCAGAGTAACTGAGATAGCTATCATGCAGAAAAGAGCATTTTGCAAAAGACTCAATTGAGTATGACCAGTAATATAACAGTATGCAGATCTGTTCACTTTAGAAACACTCTTTCTCCTAGTAGAATGCCTAAGGAAGCAATTGCTAAAGCATGCCCTGATTTACTGTGCCCCAAGATACAGGCTGAACATGTCCTTTCTTCCTCATTTAATCTACAAGGTGACTGGATTTGTGGCTTCAGGACCTCATTTATAAGAAGTCTCAAGGGCACTATTCTATAAATCCCAAGAGAAGGGAATGAAGCAACCCTAGGTATAATGTATGTGCTCCATCCCTACAAGGTCTCCCTTCAGTGACAAACATTACCTTATAAAGAGAGCTAATTTTAAAAGGATGCTGAATAAACACATATTGGTAATCACTGAATGTCTTCAATGAGTCTTCAATGATTACCATTCAACACATACCCTGAGAACTCCATAGCAGACACACTATACTCTTGTGTGATTGATGCCAGATATGGGATACACAGGGTCTATGGCTCGGTGGAAAAGTATTTATTGAACAAATCTCACGCAAACAGGATGCCTTTGTTATGCTTTGCTTCAACAGTGCTGTGAGGTGTAATGAGCTGGTCTGAGGATATAAGATGGAATCTCCAAGAAAAAAAAATGTTTTTCTGAAGTTTACCATGAACTGGATTTAAGGTATTGACATTAGTTCAACAAAATATTAAAAAACAACCAGTATTTTTTACATATCTATGATATGAAACCACCAAGAGTCTTTAGATCCAACTGAAGAGAAAAATGAAAATATTTCTCTTAAGAACAATAGATGAAATATTTGATGTAGTAACATGGAGAGTTCAGGAAAAGGCCATGCCATTTGTACATCAGGAAGCTGATTCTAGTAGTGACATCTTGTTGACTTATACTGTATATATGATTTGGAAGCCTGAGGCAAGTGTGATCTTATAGGTGATGAAAGAATGTTTAAATATTCTAATTAGTCACCAGTGAAGTAGCTAAAGTTAGAGGCATTGTCAGTGTCCATGAAGAAAAATCTAGAAACCATGTTTTATGGCAGTTGGGGACGACACATAAAACCCCACTCAATGAGTACTGTGATATAATCTCCAGTGACACAGTAATGAAGAACTCAAGGATAGGGAAGGCATTTCTACAGACTCTACCCAAGATGCTGTGCTTTAGGTTGTATTTCTGGTATCC